GTCGTCGTCGTCGTCGTCGTACGTACGTACGTACGTCGTCGTCGTCGTCGTCGTCGTTACGTTACGTACGTACGTACGTACGTACGTGTCGTCGTCGTCGTACGTACGTACGTACGTACGTACGTACGTACGTACGTACGTACGTACGTACGTACGTACGTAGTAGTAGTACGTACGTACGTACGTACGTACGTAGTAGTAGTAGTGTGTGTGTGTGTGTGTGTGTGTGTGTGTGTGTGTGTGTGTGTGTGTGTGTGTGTGTGTGTGTGTGTGTGTGTGTGTGTGTGTGTGTGTGTGTGTGTGTGTGTGTGTGTGTGTGTGTGTGTGTGTGTGTGTGTGTGTGTGTGTGTGTCCAATCAAGTGTGGGTGTCCATAGAGGTCATTTAGCGAAACCTGAGCGTTGGCAGAAGAAATCCCAGTACACGAATCGACCCACAGCATAGAATACCAGCACAGCACATCTGCTGCAGCTCTGCCCCTCTCTCTTTCTCTCAGTCTTTTTTCTATCTCTGTCATTGTGTAATGTAATTGACACTTGGTGACAGCTGGATATTAAATGGGGATTTAGGTTTTTGAAAATATTCCAATCATGTCTTTTTTCCACACACAAAAGAAAGAGAGACAGCAGGATAGAATTTGCTTTTTTCTTTTGTAACATTGCAAAACAGGCAAACAAAATGAGACTCTCAGCTTCCTGTTTACATCAGAAAACATATCTGTATGTGTCGTAGACCACCATGCTAGGCCTGGAACCATCATCAGCTCCACATGTGACTGCAGCTTTACCCACAAGCCCACTGGTGCTTTGTGACAGGGCTCTCCTTTCAAACAGACGAAAGGTCACTTATCGTGCCATCTCCAGTGGCTACCATCTCTGCCGCTACATTACTAATGTTTAGGACAAGATGGGTCAAAGGTGGGACCAGCTGCATGGGTGGGCGCTAAATGGGCAGCATTGTGGCCTACTGTACATCAGATATGTCTAGAATAAAGTAGATATTCTGCTGTGTTTTAGGGGGTATAGAGTCCAGTTTGTCAGTCTTATCACATTACAGTCTTCAGAGTTGACACGGCTTCCTCATTGACTAGTCTACATTACCGTACTGCAGGAATGAGGGTTTATTTTCTCAAGACTGTACATTTGACTCTATAATCAAAACCAACAAGGCAGAACTTTGAGAACTCTTGTTTTGTTTTTCTTCAACTTTCCACTTTTACTGGAAATTGCTAACAGGAGTAAGAGTCTACAGCTTTGTTAGAAGCTGTGAGGCTGTGCTTTGGCATTTGGTGCTACGTGGTAAATGCTATATCAGCATACTCAAGTGCCCACAGTGTCAAACTTGGTACTTTTTAGCAGGCAAAACTATACTAAACTAAACTATTAGACTAAACTATTGGGCAAGAATTGGTAAAAAATCTATCAATTTTGACCTGATGAAGGCGCTAAAAACAAGTTATTACAATTCATTCTTATTGTGACATGAATGCAATCCTTCTAAAGTAAATACTTCATTCTGGAAGACACAGGTGAACGGACTAAAAGCCTGATATTACCATCAGTCATCATGGCTAAAAACTGCTTGAAAAATGTCTCGGTTTTCACTGGAAGAAAATCCCCTTTCCTTATTCCGTTTTGTGACATCTCCCTGTCAAATCCAGCAGTTTCCTGACATGGTGACACACTATTTGAAAGTAGGAGAGCCAATCAAGAGCCACTATTGAATTGCTTCTTTGTGTTCAAAATCACTGTGATGATTTATTGATATTGAAAGTGTAGCGCCTTCGATGGGGTTTGGCACACGTGGAAGGAGAGGTGTTAAGTCATCGTCTGTTATTAGCCTTTCTTCCACCTCATCTCCCGCTCCTGCTCTTATCTTTCCTCGTCCATTTCTCCACTGCCTGTCAGTGCTATTACAGTCTATTAAAAGAGGAATTTACACCCTACATAACACATCCTCTGCACTACAACAGGGTGTTGACAGATTTTGAGGTTCATTAACTTGCTGGATCCAAATACCTGCCAGCGCCCGAGTTCCTCAAATCCCAAGGAAGTCAGGCTTAGAATGACAAATGTTGTAGCTCCATTAAAAATCCTAACATGAAAATTAGAAGCCGCTATTAAGATGTTCATTTAAAAATTATAACACGCACAGGAAATCGATAAATGCCCTGCATTAGCAAATGCTCCTGCCTTCTGAGAAGCATTTTAATCATACCACAAAGTGCCTCTTTGGTCTATGTTTGCATAAAAAAACCTCACATTTAAAGAGAGAGCTTTTATATGGAAAAGATAATGACCACAAACCTCTGAAATTATAGTTGGTTTTCCGGAAAAACTTTGTTTTGTTCCAAGTGCTGAAGATACCAAGCCTAACTTTTCTGTCCTCCCCTATCTAATATGGCTTCAAGAAAGATTCCAGATTTCTATCAAGGAAACCGAGAGCAATGCCACCTAAGACATTTTTACCTCCCAGATTTGAGCCTTGTAGCCCCCTGATGAGGTTAATTTCATGCCTCGTCTGAGCCAAGATTATTTACAGCTTTGATGGTCATAAACTGCCTCTACTCTCAAATACAAGCAGCTTGACTCCATGCATGTTACTTTCTGGGAGAGCAGATTATTCACTGTCTCTGTGTTGACACTGCAGCGGTCTTTGACCTTTTAATGCTGAAGTTTTGAACTTCCTGCCATTTAAAAACATGACCAGCCCCGACCTCTGACTGCTCCCAGTGTGATTGAGACATACAGTAAATGATGACTCCAACACCGCTTTCAAATGATCTGACAGCCGCTGTGAAACATGTGTGCTCTGATATTGTTCTCATTTTGAAGATGCTTTCACACCTAGCCCACATGGGCTTGTTTGTTTCAGATATTCTTTGGAGAACAGACCAAACAACGACATCAAGACAGCTGGAAATAAAGTTCTTTGCTTCCAGAGAAGCAAATACACCAAAAGTTTTAAAAAAAGGTAAGTAAAGAGGCGTTATTCTAAAATGCTTCCACTTTTTTTAGAAGGTAACTAGCAATGCTGATTTCATAATGAACTAATTCATCTGCAAAATGTCAGAATTGTGTAAAATTATAAATGTTTTCTCATCTCAATTACCAATTCATTTGTTTCGTCCAACCAACAGTTTCCGAGCTCAAATATTTTTGCGTTACTGTTTTTTGAGTGTCAAAGGGATTTTTTCAATCAAATAATCATTTCAGCTATTGTTTACATACTTTGTGAGTCTACTTCATGCTGATGAGGGGATTATGGGATGCTACAATGCAGGATCGGTTTGGTGTTTCGTGCCAAACACTTCAGACACATGTTTTGTATACATCTGAGAACTGTAATATATTGATGAAAAACAGTATAATAGGGGACCTCTAAAAGAAAGATTTACCACTCAGTGAAATGAGTTCATGTTTACATCTCTTGATTTTGGTTGGTAATAAGTCAGAGTTTCAGTTAGCTGAAGGAAAGGTGTGAACGGGACCTGTGTTTGTGGCAGACTTACTATGGCAGACAGAGTCGCTGTTTGGTGTGCACTCCTCCAGCTGTATCTCAGTCTCGTCATCACAGATGGTGCAGGGCAGGCAGGGGTCGAGGGAGCTTTCCCGCTCAGAATAGGTTTCCTCCACACACTCCTCGCAAACCGTGTCGTGCTCGTTTTCGCAGTGTGAATACACGCCCATGCCAACTAGGCACACCGTACAGGGCATGCACTTTGCAGACACCTTGTGAAAGAAATAGTTGTAGTCGCAGATGCAGACGGCGTCGTTGGAGTCCGTACAGGGCGTCTCCATCCGCATCAGGCCGGTACACTCAGTGCACGGCCTGCACTGGTCTTTGTGGCTGTAGATGTCCGAGAAGGTCTCACCTGCAGATTGGAGGACAGATTGAAGGAGTCAGAAACGAGAGAAGGGGCAAAGAGTGAAAGAGGTTAGAAGACAGAGAGAGAGAAGGAAATATGGGCAGATAAACAAAGGGATAAACAGTGAGTCTAATGACATTAATCATGTTTACTGCACATTCATTAGAAAGGAGGACACATTGATCCACTGGGCCGTTAGTGATTTGTGCTCCGGGACAAGAAAGGTGCTCTTGTCGGGGAGCAAGTCAAAAGCCTGCTGTGCTCATTACTCTATCGATCCCAATGTGTTTGTGCTGTGCTGAGTAAACTGCTTTAATCTCAGCCATACACACAGAGTAAAGTGCAGGGTCATCGACAGGCTGATGCGCAGATGATAAAGACTTGTATTTAGTGTCCCTAAGCGATCAAGGGATCATTCTTGTATAGTAAAGGCTTTAGAGAGTGGAACTAGTTGTTATGCCAAAAGGAGTCCATTCGTGACATTGTTGACATATTTTCCTGTAATTCATTCACAGTTAGACTTTGATTAGATTAGAGAATGTTTAATAATGCCCAAAAACGACCTCAAAAATCGCAGTTTGTAGATTGTAGCTCTTGATTTGATTGGTTAATACTTCTGCCTTGTATAATCTTTTAACCTCTTATGAATACACTTTAATAGATTAATTAATCAACTACACAAGGTCAACCCGTTTATCACAAGCATAATAGATGATAATCTATGGAAGTCTGAGGGGCGTGTTCACTAAGAATTGCATCTGATTGCAATTATCAATAGTATAAGTGTGATTGAGGCCATCGGTTGGTAGGAGTCAACCTGAAGGTCTTTGAGTTACCATCAACTCTCTGAGTAATTACGCTGTAACTCTTTGTCGCTATTTGCACTGATCTGTGTGAATTTGAATGTTTATTTGTCGCTGAATGTATCCATTTTACCAGAACACTGAAACACCGTTTGCCCAGCAGCACAATTGGTGCCAAATTATTCTTATCTAATCTTTAGGTTTAGTCGACTGCAGAAGCTGCAAAGTGCTTTGTGATTTCCCCTTGAGAACCTGCAGGTATGTGGCGACTCTGTGAAACTGAACTTAAATGCTTACATTTGTTAACATGATGACACTGACAATACTGTCATCCCTCTATTTGGAATGTGTAATGTTAATCACCTTCACTATCTTTGGTTGTTTGCATACTAACATTGATGAGAACTTGAGTAGCTTTGCAGAATTTGAGTCATTATGGTCATCAAGACTGTGCAATATTTCCCTGCATAAAATTTGCTTAATTTTCTGGTATTTCAGTCGGTGCCAAAGTGCTATCCAGGCTGAAAAGTATGTTTTAGATCTATTTTTTGCCAGACATTTGTAAAACCTTCAAGGTGTTTGGACTGCTTGTCTGAACAAATGTTGTTCTACATACTACTACATACTACTCCACCTGCACACTTGACCCAATGCCCTCCAAATTTGTTAAAGAGAGCCTCCCTGCCATCTCCCAACTCATCGCCACCATAATTAACNTTACATGTTCCCCCTTGGCAAAATAATTTGTCGCCACAACCTTCAATTTCACTGCTACGCCGATGACATCCAACTTTATATCTCAACAAAAACCATCACCCCCACAACACACTCCACTTTCACCACTGTCTCTCAGAAATAAAAGCATGGATGCAAACAAACTATCTCCAACTGAACAGTGCCAAATCAGACATCATCATCATCGGCCCCCCATCCCGTATCAAAGACATCCAGAATTTCAACTTCACCATTGACAGCCACACTCTATCCTCCCCCCCTCACATCCGCAACCTCGGAGTCATTTTCGACAGTCAGCTCAAATTCAACCACCACATAAATCACATCACCAGGGCCGCCTTTTTCCACCTCAAAAACATTGCCCGTCTCCGCCCATCACTCTCCTCCTCTGCTGCTGAAACCCTGATTCATGCATTCATCACTTCACGACTCGACTACTGCAATAGCATCCTCTATGGCATACCATCCAACCTCCTCAATAAACTCCAACATATCCAGAACTCTGCTGCACGCCTCCTCACCCACACCCGCTCCCGAGACCACATCACTCCCATCCTCCAGAACCTCCACTGGCTCCCCGTCCGTCAAAGAATCCACTTCAAAGTCCTCCTCATTACTTACAAAGCCCTCAACAACCAGGCCCCCCCCTACCTCACAGACCTGCTGCACCACCACACCCCTTCCCGCTGCCTCCGCTCATCAGAAGCCAACCTCCTATCCATCCCCACCCGCACCAATCACTGGACCTGGGGGGACAGAGCCTTCGCCGTCGCTGCCCCCTCCCTCTGGAACTCACTCCCACAACCCATCAGAGACTGCACCGACCTCACCACCTTCAAAAAACTCACAAAAACTCACCTCTTCAATCTGGCTTTTATTTGTGATTGTTTTTGTATTATTTGACTTTAACTTTAACTATATATTTATTTATTGTTCCTTTCTTCTCTTTTCTTTTCTCTTCACTATTATCTGTAAAGCGTCTTTGAGCACCTGTAAAAGCGCTAACAAATTAAATCTATTATTATTATTATTATTGCTAAGAGTGTTGTTGTTAAAGAAGGTGGCTTTTTAAATCACTGCATGTCTCCAAAGGCAGTAATTTTAAAGAACAACTTAACACATTTTTTTTTTTAAAGGTTGTGAGAAAAACAGATAGCAGAGCGCAGCTTAGTTGTGGGGAACGGTGTTGAACAGAATGAGATAAAGCTGACTTATCTGCACTCACTTCAAACATTTCAGATGTGCTCTCCAGGAAAGTTTGCATCAGGAGTTCCTCCATGGGGAAGAGATGGCCACAAATTAGATTAATCCTGGGCTGAGAGTTCTTAGGGGCTCAAAGTAATATATTAATATTGCATGTCCATATATAGAATTATTTTTCCGATATAATTGGTTGCCTGCTGAATTATGCATACAGTGAGAGAGGGGAGGGCCTGTGAGTGTATTTTAGTGGTCGAATGAGAAGGGAGTGGAATAGAGAGGCTGACAGGAAAATAAATCTACCGCTCAGATTCACTACAGAGACCGCTTCACTGTTCTCCAAATCCCATTTAACTTTTTTGTGGCGTGCAAGAGCTGCTGTTCAGAAAGAAATCACGTGTTATTCCCATAGGTTATTCCCTGCGAAAACGTAAGTAGTGGTGGCAAAGTGCAGCAGGGAGTTTAGCATCCATTCATCCAAAGTTTCACAATATGAGACCACCCTGACTGCTAAAGATTACTAAGAAATTGCATTCTCTATGATGCTTCCAGGAAAAAAAACATTTTGTCACAGATTACGGCCGCAGTTTTTAAACCATGGTTGATTTTGCAAATTGAAAATAAAACAAAAAAAAGAGTTTTGTTTAGGTTAAATCAATTAGGTAAACGCTCCGTCTTAAAGTTAAATGAATCATTGGGACTTGGTGTAACTGTAAATAAAGCTGCATGACTGTGTGGACGTTTGAGACTTGTTTTGCACAGCTCTTATCAGCATATGCATATGCCTGGGTGTGTTTCTGTTTGTGTGCGCGTGTGTGTGTTTTTCATCGGAAGTACTTAGTGTGAGTCGTATTGAGAAACAGCTTATTGTCAGTGTGAGAAGCCCTGCAGCAATGTCCCAGCACTTGCTCTGCGTTGTAAGCGGTTCTGGCAAGTAAACACTGGCACAGACTGGAGCTCTGAACACCTTGTAAACAGCAGCAGGACTTAGAAGCATACGCTGAATCTGTCACATTACACAGTCAGACGCAAAGGAGAAGACGGAGGTAATCATGTAAAGACAGGTAGGGAGGAAGCAGACCAATTTTGCTCAAATAAATCTCGTGACTGTTAGACTCGGCGCCTGTGAGGGTGGTCCAACCCGAGTCCAAAAACATGATTTAGAGATCAAAGTGTTTGACGTACGACTGGAAGTGGAAGGGTCAGGGGAAATGGGGCAGGCAGGGTTGTAGGCGAGTTCAGTTTCCAGACACACACACGCACACACACACACACGCACACGCACACACACACACACCATCAGATTCTGTGTTTTTTCTTTTCTCTCTCAACACCCATGCTCTTAGTACTGTCCCAATGCAGAAGTGATAGAAGAGAGTGACACCGACTGAACGATCCGGACAAATAGCAGACCTCGGAGGTGAACGATTATCTGAATTTGTGGGCTTGAAGCCTTTGTTTTTCTTTGCAGTGAGGCTCAACCAGCAAAGCTCTACTCATTCATTTCAATTATCCCACAGCGCACTAGCTTCCTTGGCTAATTTTAACCTGCATGCATGAGCCCCTTCCCAGTCCTTGTGTGTGTGTAAACATGTCTAAATGCGACCATATGCGGCCGGAGGAGTCTGTGCGTGGCGTTTGTATTTTTCCAATGTATGTTTCAGCACTTTCATTTGAAGGCAAAAATAAGAAATCCTTTGAGAATCAGGTGGTGAGTGTCTTCTTTAATAAAATATTATAATTGTTCTAATTGCCCCCAAATGAGTGATGATCAGAGCATCTCAGTTTTCATGTCCGGCAGTAAAAAAGACAACCATTGTTAAAGGTAGATGTGGCTGTGTACGGGGGAAATGATGCTCTTAAAATGTGCCACTTCAGCCCGTGAAGACCCCCCTCCAAACACTGACTGATGTGCTTTGGCCCCATTAGTGTCATCAATAATGTAGCTATGGACAGCCTTGCACCAATGATCTTCACAATCAGCACTTTAGGTGTAAGCTTTTAGTGGGGATGGCCTTTTCTGACACTCCACTGCACGTCAGGGTCCTTGTTTCAGCGCAGCCACCATTTCCTTGCTGACCCTCTGCTGAGTGTAGATAAATCGTCAACTTTTGGAAGGCTGTGTGACGGCTTTATGGTCTTTTTCAAAATGAAACATATTTGTGTGTAATTATCGCCTGCTTGATTTGTCCATAGCTTTCCTCCAGATTTGAAACGGGTGTTTTTTACACTTTAAGAAAAGCTATTACTATAGGAGACTGAAAGAGGAAAGGTGTAATTTAACAATCAACAGTTTCTATTTTGCCCTGAGCTGTTGTTTCCATGTTAGTGTGCCAAAAAGGGAAGAAGCTTCCTCTGAAATTGCCACCGAGGACCTGCCAGGGGTAAATCTCCATTTCCCCTTTCTTGATCCCTGTGATCCAACGTTGGAAGAGATTATTGATGCTTCATCCCCCAACAGACGGGGCTGTGATTCTACTTTCCTACCTCCTTCAAATCCCCAGTGAGCCTTGTCCAGTCAGCCAGCGAGACTCTTCTTAAACTCTACGCTCACTCGCGAGGCTCTGCTTTTTCTCTCCCAGATCTTCAGTCAGTTTGCAGGGCAAGTATTTCTGAATGGATCATAAGTGAGGCAGGTCCGGTTGTCATGTCTCCCATGACAGCAGAGAAAAGTGGAGGAGACTGTTAAATATTTCAGTGCTGCTGACGCTGGCAGTCGTCCCGAGACAGGATCGGGAGGCCATGAAGAGGGGGGGGGGGGGGGGCAGGTTACACTGACAGGAAGTGGGGAATTAAGTGGGGGTCGCGGTAAATAAAGATTCACCCATATTTACCATGAAACAGGATGTGTTGAATTTTACTCTTTAATTATTAATTTCTGCACTTTATACAATGTATTCATAGCTGTAGTTTTCCAGGTAAGGTATGGGCTTCAGCCTCTAACTTCCATATAAATCCCACTCAGTCTTTTTTTAGTGCCAGTGTTGCTGTGGGCCTCAGGTACATTAAGATGTTATCTTCTGAAAATGAAACAATAGTGAAACCGATGAAAATGCATTTGCACCGGAAGTTCAGTGCAACCTCCTGGGTATTTGAGCTTAATTGTTGAGTGTTTATCAGCAGTGAATACCGCTCCTGTACTGCAGAGGAAGATAATTGTTCACTATTAGAGGCACAATAGGCTTACCAATATGGTTTAATTAGCTGGATCAAATGAGATAAAGATGCGTTCATGTAACAGTATGCATGATAAATGAGCAGGTCGAGCTCTTTGGTGCCTGGCTCTCTAATACAATTGTATCCGCTAATACAGACGATGAGTCATAGCAACAGTGAGGGTGCGGGGGGGGGGAAGCTGTCTGAGAGAAGCGAGTACAGGATGGAGAAAAGAGGAGACACGACGAGAGTTGGTGGGATTCGCTGGTGAGGAGGGGTGGGTGTGAGGCGATGAATTAAAAAAAAATGTTTTATCAGAACTGCAGTCCGGAGGGCCTTATTATAGGAAAATGGAGTTGTGGTTTACCATATGCATTGTCTGACAATGTTTACGGCAGGAGTTTGAAAAGGAATATGATGCGCAAGAAAAAATCCTAATTACGTCAAACCCGAGATGAAGTCCAGGCGTGGTGAAGCTGTGACATGTTTCTCTTCAGACTCCGGGCCCCTTCACTCAACTAATTTCCTGCTCCGGTCTCTCATACGCAACATTTGATGACGACTATTAATCACACTGCTCACTCTCCATCTACTGGTGGGATTGGATTTTTAACGACAGTGACGCAAAATCATGTCCACTGTGTTTTCCTCTTTAGTTTTGCATAAAAACCCATTTTGCCAATTTCATGCCTTACTTTCTCTAAAATTGACTTTGTTCGAAATAATTGGTTTACGTGAAATTGACTTGCAGTTCTATTCTATTCTTACCGCTGTGGCACTCTAGATAGAGAATTGGCTTTCTGCTCCTGAACTCATTGATGTATCTCTGGAGTTCCACAAGGCAAAGAATAAAAACAACTTTGAGCGGGTAATATCGGCAATACTTGAGATTCTTAATAACACAACACAACACAACACAGAAATAAGCCCCTGTTGTACAAAGAAGTTTACAAATCTAAGAATAATCTAATGTTTCTGCGCTAAGAGCACCCCTTCCAACCTGCTAACATTCCTCCAGAATTGGATAATTTCCCTAAAAATAGCATCCAGTTTATATTAGTGTGTTTTGGTGTTAAAAGACTGTTTCCGTGCTCCATTCGCTAGTGTTTACATGTGGCCGGTGTGTGAGTGGACTATTGCCATCAATCAATGTTCAAAGGAGAGCGCTCTCTAATCGTGTAAACAAGCCTAATTTAGGATTTCTGCTCTGTGTCAGCCACTACAAAGTCTCAAACTGACACAATTAGCTTGTGCTTTCAAAAGGAAAGAAAGGGGTGCTACATTTGTCTCGTCGCAATTCTTCAGCTACTCCTGCTGCAGCGATTCTTGTGACCTATACTTTGACGTTTAGTAAGGCATGCACCAATATCTTAAGGGCACAAAGAGCTGCAGGAATGTGACGCAGAAAGACGCCTGGAATCAAGAAGAGCACTTTGTTTTGCAGCATTGGTTTTTCTTCTTCTCTTGGATGTTGCGGTGTTGGCACGTCTCCCAGCTCTTGTCTGTAGAGCGAATGCTAATGGTTCACAGCCTAATCCGAGTTGTGAGCGAACACATTTGGATCCACTTACGAGCGTGAAACATATAAAATCCTGTCTTATTTCTCAGGGCACTCAATAGAGGCAAAACTGACACTTTATATAAATGAATAAATTGGACAATAGGGGGTTTGTTTTGGCTTTAACATTCATTTTGTTTGGATTTCAGGGCCTCAGCTGTCATTAAAGGCACAGAAAATGAACTTGGATGCATAAATAAAGATGATGAAAGGGCAGAATCTTTGCATTAATCCAGTGTGAGCTTGTGTAAAACTGATGATGACATGTGGTTAACATGTGATTAACATCCAGATTGAATGTTATTCTTACGTGAAAACGTTTTCATGTGTTTTCCAAAATGTCATTTTTGTACGAATCTGTAAAGTCACATTTTAGCATGTTGGTGTTTAAGTCACTTCTCTAATCTATGGCGACTGTGGCTGCAAAGGTAGTGTTGTCCTCCTCAAATCAGAACATTGTGGGTTCGATGCCAGCCCTTGCAGTCAACATGTCGATGTATCCTCGGTCAAGAGTGTCTCAATATTAGCTTACTTGAGCAACTGGCACATTGCTCTGTGCGATGTGAATGGGTGAATGATGGCTTGTAAAATATAAATAAAGTTTTTTCGATGCAATTGAGGGGTTGTAAATAATGGATAAAGCGATGTTTAAATACAATCCATTTAACATTTACCATTAAAGGGTAAGTTTACCCAAATCAAGGAAATTCATTAACGTGTTGATCTGATTGTGAGCAGATTACATTGGAAACAGCATGGTAACAGAGATTAAAGATGATGAGAGGAAGGTTTTGCAATTTTTTTGGGGAAAGATTTGTTGCTGTTTGCCACAAATGGGGATGGCAGCAGGACATTCAGAGGAAGATTGGTCTCAAAACCTCAGAACACAAAACTGACAAACTGATGGAAAACAAAAAACGAATGTTTTGGTGCAAAGATAGTGACATAATTCCACTTATTTACGAAGTAAAGAAACATATCTCTAAAATGACCAAATTATGACTAAATTAATTTGCCGTTTTTGTAAGTCAAGTTATTAATTAAGAGGTTGTCCCACATTTAATCAGGTCTGTTGTTAAAGCATTATTACTATTGATTTAACTATTTGTTACTACTTGTGAACCCTGTGTATACCATACAGGTGTGTACTGTATACCGGTGTGTTTTTCTTTGATTTGATCAGAATGTGCAGTATGACAGTCTTATGTTTACCTCAAACAAAACATCTCAATAAATATCTGTACTCACTGTCCAAACATTGGGAGCAGACAGTTTGCTTGGCCCCGCATTTCTTCACCACTCCCTCTCCAGGTGGGCACTCCTCGCAGCATTTTCCGTCGGTGGTGTACTGGCCGGAGTCACAGGGGAGCGGCACCGCCCGCTCAGTCTTCGACCCCAACACCAACGCCACCTGGCACAGCGGGACAGTACATCAGAGCAGCACTTTCACACATACACACAAAGGGCCACGGTGACTTAATCATACACAGCAAAACAAATTGATGAAAATTACTGCCAGCTGTCCAACCTGTTCCTTAAATCCAGCTGCTATCAGGATTCATCATAAATCATGTTGTCTCCTCCTGTATTAGACACACTTTGAACAAGTCTAAACTGCCCTAATAGCTCCCCTGAAGGCAAATCAGCTCTAATAGTAAACGTATGACACGCTCCATCCCAGGCAATTACCATAATGTCATGTGTGCACAACATTATACACATGCCCGTCCAAATCACTCTCTAAAGGTAAGCATTGGTTTCACATGCATACTTATACTACTATACTTGTGAGGAACTTTTTTATGGGAATAATACTTTGCACCTTACTGTTAACATGAACATCACCCCGCACCACCATTTCTTGATTTTACTTGAGTTTCGGGGTTTTTTCTTTGGTCTTTCTTTAACTTTTAGTTCTATTATAAAGTTTACAATTAGTTTCTTGTCCAATCGGTTTTCTTTAAACCAGATGATGTATGCGTTTATTAATAAGCTGTCTCAGTCAAGTATCAATAAAGGTCATTATTATTTGCCAGATTTTAAGTCGAACTGTGACCCTTAATGTTAATCTTTTAGCAGCTACATGACAGTAAATCAAGTAATTATATTTAATGTTTTACTTTGTGGGGACATTTTGTAAAAAATGTTTTACCTAAATGGTAGATGAGTCCTGACATGTAATATGAACATATTTCAGTTCCCAGTTGATATATAGAAGTACACATAGTTTTATAACTCTATTCAAATGTGCATATCAATTCAAAAGCTGCACATTTTTGATCACCTTAGTACAGACTATATACACATACATTTGCTGTAGGGTTGTCCCTCTTCTTGACAGATAAATCCATGTGGTCTCATCTACTGTACTCCAGTTATCTCCTCTCTTGTTGCATTTCCTTTCTCTATGATATAAAAGCCATGCAGCTCTACTGGCAGAAGAACTGAGGCTTTTTCCACTGGTGTGTATGCAACAATGTCAAATAAAAGGAATTCATATCACGACATTTTAGAACAAAGAGAAAGCTTTATACTGAAACACTTTCATGTCCTGTGGCGCTTATTATGTAACAAGCAAATGCTCATTTCCACTTAATTCACATTTGCTGAGACATCAATTCAATCTTTCTCGCTCCCTCCCTCTCTCTCTCTCTCTTGTCCCTCCCCTTCATCCTCTCTGCTGTCCCTGCTTTCATTCAAAAGCAGATGTACAGCTCTTCTGCTCAACATTTTCTTCTTTCTGTCATCCATTTTAAGTTTTCCTTCTAACTTTACAACCTGTCTAACCAACATTCCTGCAAAAACCTCAGCATTTATTTGAGTATATCATCAGGATTAAAGTCATGTTTTTTTCTTTCTGCAAAAACAAAGTCTGCATATGTCCAAAACCTCAAGAGAGTTCCTGCACATCTGCAGGGGGGGATTCATGTCCCTGAATGCAGCACAGACTCCCTTTCCTGTGACATCTCCCTGGAATATCACTCAGCTCAAACATAGGTTAATGTCCAAATCAGCAGGAAATGTGTCCACCAGCAGCAGGAACATGCATCCACCCTCGCAACAACATTGTATGCTGACCCAGCTGCAATACAGTTGGTTTGTACTCTCTCCAATTTCATGGTCAATTTGAGAGTTTATTTCTAAATTTAATTCGAGCAAAGTGCAGCCGACCGTCGCCACCCTTAGAACCAGCTGTCATAACAGAGTGTCCCCTCACATCCAGGGCTGTTCACATGATGACGGAGCTACACAGCCTGATTAGACCAGCTGCTGTGGACATACCAGAGAGCCGGGAGGATGTGCCTCATCACCAACATAATCAACTTTTATCCATTCTCAGAAATGCCTCATGTTTTGCATCAAAATCAGCCAAACAATAAACAGCTCGTCAGATAAGAACTCAATTAATCAATTTACTCTCTGTAAGCTGCAGCATTTTTATCTTTTTTCATTTTAATATCACAGAATTAGAAGTGAATGGATGCTTTTAAACTCTGGGCCAAGGCGTCTGTCAGCCGACTATTCCTGGAGATCTGGATGCTGCCCAATGTGAAGCAGAAATCTAAATTTTCCAGAAACTAATCCAACTAACTTTTTCTCCCTGGATGGAAATAAAGAGGGAGGTGTGTGTGCATGTAGCTGCCTTTGTGGTGTGGAGCAATATAACCTGGGCATACTGTAATATTACATGCAAATAGTTGTTAGCTATGCAGCACCTGCACGTTTAGCGCGGGGCAAAAACGGCAGATTGGTCCTTCTATTATTTTTCCTTTTTTTATGGAAACACAACAGCACAACACTGATACAGTACATACATATTTAAATGTTAATATAATCATTAAAATAGTCAAAAGAAAATCTTAAAAGGGATTAGTTCATTGAAGAGTTCTGAAGACAATAAAAACTCTATTCAAGTCCCGGCAAGATTATTCAATTAATAATACATCAATATTATAAATATCTGTACAATTAAATGTAAGCACCGTTTAGAAGTATCAGTTAAAGGAAATGTTCAAAAAATGATATCCCAAAGTGAATATGTTCACTAAAACTCGCGCACGGTTGACGGTGCAGAGTACTCACCAGAGCGCACAGAATCACCAGCGATAAGGTAGGAGTCATCCTGCGTCGCCTGCTGGAGTCACACAGGAGCAGATCTTTGCAGAGAACGCAGCGCTATGAGGACGAAGAGGAGGAGGAGGAGGAGGAGGAGGAGAGCCGCGCAGCAGGAGAGCTCATTTTATTTTCAACAGCAGAGGGTTTTTATCAATGAGTCCGCACCATTACGCGCCTGTAGCTACGGGACCTCGTGAACTGGAGTCAGATGAAGCTGTCGGTGCACCTCTCAGCTCCAGCACCACCAAAGAAGAAGAAGAAGAAGAAGAAGAGGAGGTGGAAGAGGAGACTGTCCTGTCCGAAGTGCTGCTCAGCTGCAAGTGCACTGCGGAGGAGGCGAGAAGAAAGAAGAGTCCACCCTCCAGTTTATTACCCCTGATACTCCTGCAGTAAGACTAATAACAACCTGCTCCCCCTCTCTCTCTCTCTCCGTCTCTCATCTCATCTCTCTCTCCCTTCCTCTGCCCAGGAACCCCCCAATGATTTTACTCTCACGTGAGGTCTGTGACTCAATGCCAAAGTGACATAAACAATAATTACATTTATTGGAAAATATCAGCATTAATGTTCTGCACACTTATTTTGTATATATGTGTAGCCAAAAGTATAGACACTGATACTTTTGTGTACTTCTGGTCTGTAATGGCTGGGTTTCTACTATTATTACCAATATATCCTAAAGCTGCAGCATGTACATTAATATTGTGTGGCATTAGACTGGGGAAGACGTTTTCCTAATTTGATGTGGAAGAACTTGGACTCTTTTGCAATTATTACACTGTCCACATACTTTAGGCCATACAATGTGTATTCCTTTATCAACTGATCTAATTGTCAATTGTTGACACTCTGCATAAGGCTGCATACTGTGCCATTGTTGTGCTGACATCTTGACGTGTGGTTCTAATATTTATTACTTCCCCAAATATGTAAATGAGGCAGGTAAAATATTAGAAACACATTTCCATATAATTCACCCCAAAACCAGACCACCACAGTGAACAGCCCCAGAACTTTTCCTGAGAACTGGTTCACCACAAAAACAACCCGAGAAACCTCGAGGACTGCAGGGATAACAGGTGTTTCTATTTTCTCTATTGATCTAACTTTTTTATCCCCCATATCTGATGAATAGGTCGTTCAAAATCTCACTTTTCAAATTAACTTTATGACTCAATGATGGTGAGAAACAGATGCTGGTGTGTAGCTAATTACTGAGGAACATCAAAGTAAACATATTTCCATCAGTCATTTGACAAGGAATATTATCATCATGAACCACAAGAGGGCGACTGAGCTGAGCTCAGATCAGCTGCAGATTAACTATGAAGGATGAGGTTGTTCTTCCCCAAAGATAAGTCACTTCTCTGAGGGATATGCACCGTGAAAAGGCTTTATTTTCAAGGATATCTGGTTTCACATGGTACTGTGTGATACTGCTACACAATCTAACACTCTGTATTAACAGTGGCCTATATTACAACATGGCAATTTATAATTAATTATCCCTGTCAGTGGATGTTCTGTAAATGTGTCTGGGCTTCAGTGTGAGTTTATAGAAATATTATTGTACATTATCTAACAAAGAAATACATTTATTTTTTACATTTTATTGTGATGGTTGAAAATCACTCTTCTATTGCTGAACATGTTATTGTTTGAATCCATTAAGCACTGCCTGCGGCATCACAGATATTTTTTTGTCAAGATGATACTAAATTTGGTGACTCCACTCCAAAACCACTAATGCACTTTTAGGCATTGTAATTGTGTTCGATGCTCATTGAGGTACTTAGCCTTTACACTTAAGGAAAAACATTGTTGATGGATATTGATCCAAGACGATGTGACAATGAAGCAGCTGTACCACCAAAATAAACCACACCTTTGTCTGTGTCCAACCTTTCCCATTCTCCATCTTGTGCAATCCTCCTGACCTCGCTACTTCCATCTTCTCCACACGAGCACCAGCTCAGGGGACGGAGAGGCCGATGCCCGTGAAGCTGCAGGGTGATTTAGTTTCACTATTGTAGATCCAAATGCTCTCCAGTATTGATCTAGGGACACATCAATTTTCCCACTTCCTACATCCTCTTTTGAGATCACCCCTGTAGCACCTTTGTCTCTCCACCATTGTGATGATTCTGACAGCACTCTTCACCATCAATACACTCTTTGATATTGTATTCACATGTCAAGTCCTGTGGATCCACTATGTGTTGTCCATGGTCACCACAGCATGAGTAAAGCCACTGCATCACCGAGACTGTGCACGTAGCCAGTGATGGGCTCCAACTCATTTGTCTAATTATTGGTTATAATTAATGTTCACACTCTACAGCCATGTTGTTGATTTAGTTTCAGCCCAACAACAGTGTAACAGAAATGTTCTACAACTCTAGGCTGAAATGTATCCACCCAATAGCCTGAAATAGAAAAATGTCCTCTGAATGTGAGCTCCATAAGTAGCGTTATGGATGTATGGATATGCGCTGACAGGGGCCTTTGGTAGGATACATGTACTTTTCTCTGTACATATCAAATTTCCGGCCATAAGATAGGTCAGCGAAAGGAAAAGGTCATATAAGCCTGCAAGGTCGCTAATAAAATAAAATCTTGCTGAAGATGCTTGCTGCCGGCGGAAGTCGTCACGGTAGACAACTCAAGGGGAGCGACACATGAAATTCACCGGAGCGTGTTTTTTTTTAATTCAGGGACACGTCTTTTGACTTATCATAGCAAAACTATTTTTACACATTGTTTTGCTTCTGTTCATTTCTTCCACCAAGGTTGTTTGTGGTTTGGTGTCTTTGCAATATTTCTTGCAAGCCAATTTGACAATTTTCAGTAATTGGTTTTAAAGAGGCAATTGCACTAAAACCGAGTGTTTTAGACCAAGGCTGAATACCGGTATATTCAGAAAGAAAGTTTTGCTGTTTCTCAATGTGGGTACAGTTAAAACAATACTGCAGTGGATGAATTTCAACTGAATAGCGTTGTCAAAAATGGAACACACTGCTACGCCTTCTACAGACATGATGACTGCTGCTGGCTAGCAACCTCCATGCTAGCGTTACCAAATCATTACAGATTGCTCAGTTGACCCAAGAAAACATAGCTTATACTCAAAATCAGTATAGTGGTACATTTATTGAATAGTGAGAAATCATCTTGTACAACTTTTATTTGTATGGTGCTTTCACACTGACCATCCGGGTTTTCATATTCCACCTCATTTAGCCATACATGTTTTAAACATTCGTGGAAAGGCAGTTGAGACACAGCATGTGAGAAAACATATCTTCAAAATGAAAGCAATTTAACGTATTCTACTAGAAACCAATATATACAAGTATGAAACTGAAAAGGAGCATTATATTAGCGCTTTATGATTGAGAAACGTTCAATCAAATGGGAAAGAAACAGCTGTTTTGAGTTCATGTTTGATGTTTTGTTGACCCATCCATCCACATGAGGACATTGTTACCTATGACACCATATCCTGATGTCCTTCTTTGCTTACATTACTACTCCTACAGCCACTAGAGGGCTATGTCACATACTGTAAACGTGTCGTTGTGAGCCATTTACTAAATCAAAGACACATTTTAATCTCTGTTTGATTTTAAATAAACACTGTAGGAATGGGAGGCCTTGACATGCTATAACTATTTTCCCATTTCAGAGTACAATTCAGAATGTGTTCCTTTGATTTAAGCTGCAAACAGTTTCAAATTAAAGTTGAAGGTTGTAAATAGGAAAAACAAGAAACCTGTGTCACTTTCTAAATACTGCACTATGCTTGTAATCGAATCCCCAAAAAAAACCTCAGACATGACATTTGCATTTTGAAGAATTTACGGTATAGCCTGATTTCTAAGTGGCTTTTCATTGGACTGTTCAATCTAGTTTAATAGTTCCAAAGTATTTCTAGCCATGCATCTAAAGAAAAAACCCACAATCTTGGTTGTCAAATGTGACAATTAATATCCAAATGATGATCGATTTTCATAAAACATGGCTTGAGATCTGAAAGAAGCCGGTTAAGTATGGAGAAATGTGTGCTTCTTGATGTATATGAAATGCAGATGTTGTACTGTTTAGACACAGAAAAGTCAAGTCAAGACAAGTCAAGACAAGAGGGTTCAGTGTGACCCTGGTGTGATGTTACAACGGTGCAGTGATTTCTTATCTTCGTGCTGGTCTGGGGACAGATTGGGGCTGATATGAGAGTTGGATAGCCACTGTACTTGGTTATAGCCCAGCATGCATTGAGAGTACTGAGTATTAAGTGCAGAGGGTGCACACCACATGTTTTAAACATTCGCCAAGTAGGGGATAGGACATCACCTGTGACTGGTTACACTTCTAAAAACAAGAATTATAGCTCCCATTCAAAACAGAGGAGGAGATGCATTCACCCTTCACAAATCGCTTTGCAAATGTAAACCACAAAAAGTCCACTGGATCCGAGCCAGAGCTGCAGGGGAACCCACACTTTTCTCATGACAGGATGTCTTTACGCTGTCATATTCATGGTTATGGTTTTTCCCCCTTGGTCAACTTTAACTCCCAAAGATTGCATACGTCCAAAATGGTAAGCTTAAATATCAGAGGTTCAAAAAGAAATATAAAAATGGATTTTTAAGCAGATGATCCCGTCATCAGTTAACCGGCCTTGTTAAAGCATTATTACAGGGAGAAAAATAACTTTTACTGAAATATGCCCACACATCACATATATTTATGTAAACGCATAATGTAAATGCCAACCACATCCTAAAAAAATCCTGATTTATTCAATTTTATCCCAGACTGGCTGCTGAAATCAATGTGTTTGAATATGTGGTCGATTGTATCACTTTCCTGTGGCTTCCCCTACAACAGGGGTGCCAAACTCAAGGCCCGGGGGCCAAATCCGGCCCGCAACATCATTTTATGTGGCCCTGCAAGAGCTTGCAAAGAATATAATATGTTGCGGGCCGGATTTGGCCCCCGGGCCTTGAGTTTGGCACCCCTGTTGTAGGNTTTTATTTACATATGAACCGGAACACATTTGTGTGTGAATTGAAAAATACAAGTGTGAATCCTTCTGTGTGCATGTGTGCATTATGAGACTGTTCTGAGCCCATATTATGACATCATCGTGTTCCATGACACAGGTGTTTATATTTAAGCTAACGACGTGTCCAGAGATAAAAGGTTTCCATGGTGATGTGCAGTAATCAGTGAGAGGAGAGCATTTTCATTGTTCTGAATGAGAGATAAACCTCTTACGTTTGAACGTTTTGTTGAAGAACCGTAACAAATATCGGTGAGATTTCAAAGCGTGAAGCATGCAAGGAACTTGAGCATCTGAAGTGTACTTTTTGTGTACTTTTGGGTTAATAATGTGGCCTTTTTGGCAGATTAACTAAAGGTGTGCGGCTGCTGTGGTGGGGAAAGATGAGGCTGAATTTACAATGGGGTGTAATGGAGACCTGTTGAAAGGTTTTGTCACTTCATGCCCTCTAGAGGCATTTTGTTTAATTATTTTGCTTAATTTGTTTTTATTTTTCAAGCTACTCCTACGTTTCTCATGAAAAATTATGTCTCAGGAATGTAGGGTTTGGGAATTATGGCAGGTTTAAAAGAAAATATGAAGGCAAAATTAAATCTGTCCTCCACTAGCTGTGACATCACGCACTCTAAAATCTGAAGAAGGCCTCTTTACCAAGATCTGAAAAATATCTCTAAAAGTACGAATCAGATTTAAAAGCTGTGGAAAACACGAATAATGTCAGATGTGTAACATTTTAAAGTTGGAATGAGGTTTCTGAGTGAAAGTATGAAGGAACAGTTAGCAGTTGAAGTTGCATGAAGATTGTTCAAGTCTGAAGAGTTTCTCCATTGACTTCCATGTTAAAAATGTGATGAATTATGGGATATATCTCGGGAATTATGAAAGTTATGAATAAGAAAAGTGATAGCCATCGATTCCTGACCGAGCTGAACGTTTTGATGTTTGAACGGAGTTTCTGCGATGTGGAATGTGGGAGAAGAAGAGGTGCAAAATAACCCGGCAGAATAATAAAGAATTTTGTGCGTAGCATAACAGATAGTTGGAATGATGTATCAGCATTCCCACTAAAAAAGTTGTGCAAAAGTCAAAAAATATAGTTACTTATTATATTTTGTATATGTTAAGCATTACAGTTTAAAAGAACCTTTCCATCACTGTCTGCAAAGTGTGTTAATAGAAGTCGAAACTTAAAGCGAATAAAATAATGTTTCTACTTTTTTCCTTCAGAGAGGTTACGGCCTGTTACTGATGTCCGCATTGTGTTGGTGGGTGCAAAGGGTTCTGGGAAAACATCAACTCTGAACACAATCCTGAACAGTAAGATCAATCACCAAACAAGGAGAACAGCCCAGTGTATGGTGGGAAGAGGAGCGGTGTTTGGGAGACAGGTGACGGTGGTGGACACTCCGGGTTGGTGGAGGAACTACTATAGTGACGAGAGTCCCGTCTTCGACCGGAGGCAGCTGCTGCTCAGCCTGTCTCTCTGCCCTCCGGGGCCTCACGTCTTCCTGCTGGTGATCCGTGTGGACAGAGCCTTCACTGAGACCTACAGGAGGGCGGCACAGGAGCACCTACAGCTGATCAGCGAGCACATCTGGAGCCGTGTCATCGTGCTGTTCACTTTCGGGGACTGGTTGGGAGGCACGACCACGGAGCAGTGCATCGAAAGCGAGGGGGAGCCCCTGCGGTGGCTCGTGGAGAGATGCGACAACAGGTATCACGTCCTGAACAATAAAACTAAAGGGGATGGATTTCAAGTCAGAGAGCTGATTGGGAAGATTGAGGAGATGCTGGCCGGATTTGACGCTGAGCAGCATTGTGAAATAGAAAGGAAGGGGATGGCCCAGCTGCAGAGGAAGATGATAAGAGAAGAGCAGAAAGCCAAGAAGAGACTGATGAGGAAGGAGAAACAAAGGCAGATAGCAAAGTCTCAGCTGGGTGAGTTAGATTTGAAAGTGATAAACAATGTCAGCGTAATCATGTTGTGCTAATTCAATAAATAGTATTAGGTTTAGTCGTTGAGGGTTTGTTTTTTGTATATTGTTTCAAGTTTAACCAGTTTGATATGTAAATCTTCTCTTCAACAGAAACGCTTAACCCTCTTCATGAGCTGAGAATAGTGCTTTTAGGCAGCTGGAAAACGGGCAAAAGCTCATGTGGAGACACCATCCTTGGCAGAGAGTGCTTCCACACAGGAACCCAAACCACTTCCTGCTCCGAAAATCGAGTCAAAATCAGCGGCAAGACAGTGGCAGTGCTGGACACACCTGGCTGTTTCTCTGTGAACTCTGACCTCCTCGAAGCATCATGTGCCATCCTCCTGGTTGTCAATGTGAGCTCCTCATTTAATGACACCCACATGGGAGCAATAGAGAAACAGCTGGAGGCCGGAGGAGGCCAGATGTGGAGCAGAGCGGCAGTTCTGTTCAGCTACGGCGACTGGCTGGGCGACACGAGTATCGAGCAACGCATTGAGAGCGAAGGAGAGCCGCTGCAGAGGCTGGTCCAGATGTGCGGGAACAGATATCACGTCCTGGACAATAAACACGGGGGAGATAGAGTTCAAGTTCACCAACTGATTGAACTGATAGACGAGATGCTGGTTGGAGAAAGGCTGACCGTTCTTCACGGTGGTGATCACATGTGGAAAAATGTTTCAGTGACACTGTGTAAAAACGATTTAGAAATGCTCACATGCTGCAGACATCAACTGTCGCATGACTGTAAGTAATCCCACGCTAGTAAAGATCATCCATCGGAGTTATTTATTCTGATATTGATATTATGGATTGCATTTATACAGCACTTTTCCAGTCTTTATCACCCTTTAGGAACCCCAAAGCCACCAATTGTTAGACGACTACACTACATCACAGCCCACAGTCGTAATGTATTATAAGCTTCTTGGAGCTAGTGTTAAGAAGTTAAACAGTGTCACAACAGTTGTGATTTCATTGCTAATACCTATTTGATATTGCTGTGAAAACATCTAATTCAAACAGCAGTATTTTGTAACGTTTTTCGCCATTTGATCCTTTGACCTCCAGCAATTAGATGTTTCTTTTGTCACTTTAGGTCTCGACAGTTTATCCTGGAATGAAGCTTGTAATGATACGCTTCATAGAGCAATGACCTCAAGGAGTCACAAGACAGTTTACAGGATGAGAATTTATACAATTTCACTAATCTATTCATGGCTGGTTATCTTCGCAAAGGGAAGATGACAAAAACACTTTTATCACACACAAGGCGAGGCAAGGCAAGGATGAAGGGAACATTTACCTGAGTCATAGGCCAGGAGGAAGGCCCCAGGTCGGCAGTTTGAGGTTTGGGTTTAGATGGCTGGAACACAAAGGCGTATTATTTCAGAAGGTCTTCACATTAAATTAAGCTCTAGCACGCATTACTAGTTGTCACACCTCAATTGCTTTCCCAGGATCAACACGTACTAGGAACAACTATGCTATTGATACAACTCCCATGGCCTCTAACGATGACTTGAACAATAATGTATGCAAACCATTGATGTTGGGTCACAAGAAAAAACTGGATGATGTTGGTTTATCCTTGGAAAGCATTTGACAGAAGAGGGAAATGCACTCACAACTGCATGCACACACTCAGCACAATACAATATTGTATTGATTAAAACCTATTTTAGCCTCTCAAATATGGAGATTTTCTGCTTTTCTCTGTATAAAATCATACTTTACAAAGCTTTGGACAACAAACAAGTAATTTATGGATATTCAGAAATCAGGATAGCCAATTTAAACTATATTTTATACCAAATGCTTAATTGAGAAATAATATAAGCAACACATACAGTATCTCTAAAGATTGTCCTATCAGGTGTAACACAGGGAGGGATCAAACAGCGAGGATGCATTATCTGTAATACTAGATAAACGGCTTTATATCTTGGGAAGGGTGGAGACGGTTGTTTAAGAGTTGTTGGTATTTTTATGGCACTCATGAAATCACACTGCCATTATTTCTCCTTTACAGTGACTGGACCAGCCAATCCCAGCTCTCAGACGTCACTGAACTGCTCAGGAGGTGGTGGACAGGTAGTGGCAGTTCCAGCAGGAAGAAGACGAAGACAGACTGGACCCAGCATGCGGGACAGAGAGGGCTTTATGTCCTGTTTATCCTCCATGTTTTCATCAATGAGGTGGAAAATAATAATTCCACACTTGTTCCCTACCGATGATCTCCACTTGAACAGTGAACACCCCGTGTTCACAACCAGCCACCCTACAATGCTCCTGGTTTTACCTCAAACACAACAGAGGGTGCTGGATGAGGAACATGCCATCGGTGTGCAGTCCCTCTGCCGCCCTGCTCTGAGAGAGCGGACCCTCAGGAGGCTCACTGAGTCCGGAGACCTTCAGGCGCTGATTGACCAATGGGGCGACAGCAGCCTGCAGGAACTGGAAGCCTTCATTGACTTGTACTTTGAGATGATTTGGCAGCAAACCATGGGGTCATTTCAGGAACCCCACTGTCCCACCGCAGAGGAGGATCCTGCTGTCCAGGAGGAGGCCAGGCAGCAGGAAGTGCTCTCCTCCATTGACAGGAAGCTGTCAAAACTAGAGCTCCTGGAGGAGATCAGGAGGGATCTGGCTGAGCTGAGGACGAGCCTGGAGCACAGCTGGGAGGCCATACAGGAACTCAGAGAAAAAAGCAAACAGGACGGCCATAATAATACATGTTGATGCAAGGAGGAAGTACATTACTATCTAAAAAAGACTACATGAATGTATGTGTTTCTTCTGACTGAAAAGTCAAAAAATAAACAGTGCAAAAATCACTGTCTTGAATAAAAGAGACCAGTTTGTTATATGTTGGTTTGATTTTTTTTTTCACAAGGGGGAGCTGTTGTTCAAGAGAAGGTTTTTATATGGCCACTGAAACATCACACCTCTGCAGTGGTGGAAGAAGTTCTCATATGTTTAACCTAAGTAAACGTATACCACATTGACAACATACTGTTACAATAACAATACCTGCATTCCACAGTGGAAGTCAAAGTACAAAAGTATTGGTATCAAAATATACGTATATAAGTACTAAAAGTAAAATGGCTTATGATGCAGTATTTCAGAATAATATATGTAATTGGATTATAGTTCTTGATGAAGCTGTTAAGAGTTGGGCTATTTTTAATTACTTATTTTGTTTTCATTCTGCTTGGGAGCTTATTAATTAATGTATGCAAACTCTCATGACAATTCCAACCAATTTATAATTGAGCTCAAATATACCTCACCTCTTGCCATAAAAGCTATCATTCTTTTCCTGCCTCTTATCATCCAGAGTGTTGTTTTACTCAGATAACCCTGGTGTTAACCCCCAAAGCACCAAAACATGTTGTGATAACTGTGACAAAACACAAGGGAAATCCCAACAGTCGGTTACAGTATGATGACATTTCCCAGGATGGATTTACTGGAGGCCTAATTGCAACGGAATAATTTGTAGGCAATCTTGGTCTATTTATCTCTGACAGTCCTCATTTCTCTGTTTGCATTATACCTTTTTGACCATCATTACTCCTTCTATCCGCTCTCTCCCTGCTGCCTTATCATCTATCTTCCTCTGTTGTCAACATGTCATTCCTCCACTCCATTCTCCTGACACTCATTTTCCCTCTTTTCTGTCTCCCCACATGTCTTCTCTGTCTGCCATCCTATTCTCTCTGCAGTTCTTCATCCCACGCCCCCCCCCTCTCAAATCAAGTCGTGAGTGCTCCCCCCCCCTTCCCTCTTATTGAGAGGAGTTCTGCAGCCTTACAGAAAGCACAGGAGAAATGGATCTCCTCCCTCTCCGTTCGTCATGGAGGCTGTTCGGAGACAATTTTGAGCCAACATCCATCTTCATTAGCGGGACAGAGCAGCGACCGGGGCGACCCCCCAGCCTCCACCCTGTATCACGTTTCACTGCATGCTATTTTTCCAGGTGGAAACAGAACCAGGCGGAGAGATGGGCAGAGGCTGGGAAAATGGATGGGGAAGGGGATGATTTAGGCCTGGTTTAAAGGAATCGTGCATCCTCCACTTCCCTTCATGCTCTGATACAAAGGCGTCCCCCGGGGAGACATGTCTGGGAGACAGTACAGTGACGGCCAGTGCACCTCAGCAGGAGGACTGAACTTTTCTACCCCTTAAAGCCCATAAAAGAAGTCTGCATTATGACCTCTCAGTGCTACTAACTTCAGAGTATTTAGGCTAAAACATAGAATACCGTGCAGAAGCAGCTGTTTCAGGTTAGTGTTTGGTTTGATGCAAGTTAGTGGGAAATTTGGCCCCAATCACTGAGGCTGAAACTTAATTTAGGTCAAAGCTGTGATTAAAAAAACTTAAGAGGCTTGCAGGGTGATGCAGGGAGTGTGGGCATCGAGGGATTTGGAGATTTGTATTCCTCTTTAGTCTCCAGTTTTTAGATTTTCAAATTCATGCCAACAACATTATTCAACCAGAGCTCATTTTTTAAACGCACATTGTGTAATTTTCTTCCACTAGCGGTACTCAAAAAAGTAATTATAAAAGACAGAGTTTTGCTTTGTCATGTAGCTTCGAGTCTCTGATGCTGGTATTGCTTCTCTGGTAACTTAAGATCCAGCTGTACAAGAACTAAAATCCCTTAACTAGTTAAAATACATATTTAAAAACTGACAGGATATAAAAATGTCCTTGCAGAAAAACACAACGCAGGTGCACCTAAAAACAGAGCATAACGATTACAGGGAACCAAATGGGATTGAAGAAGTTGCAAAAGGGATACCATGTGATAAGGAAAAGATAGACGGATAGATAGATTCCAAATCCTTATAAATTGGTCTCCCAGCAGCCTAGTCCATTTAAAGTCCTGGTTTTAGTGACCTAAGCCAGCCTGTGGGAACAATTTGGGAATATTTGGTAATTGAGAAGAGTGTGTCAGAAGTAAATGAGGTACATTTGGTTTTGCTGGCACCTGGATTCGGATCAGGAAAACCACACTCACACATGCACACACTCAGGACTCACCCTCTTCCATCTTCCCAAATACACGTCTGTCATTGAGCCCCATCAGGATATGCAGGGTCAGGGAAAACCTCAAGGGCAAAGTTCAGGAAACAATTAAGGAAATAACTGCACAACAGTGGACTGAATTCCAGCTCCATTTTGAATATGTTTCTGTTTCTAAGAAGGTCTCACTCGTTAAATCATTAACCCCGCCACTGCAACCCACAAAAGAAGAACAGCAACACGGTTGTATGTTAAAAATGTAGATGCCATCTGCTCTGCAAGCGGCTATTACAAGAGCTGTTATAAAGAGGGATGAGAGCGGAGCCCCTGTAAATCAATGGAGGCTTACTGGGTTTGTGGTTTGACCCTGAAGTCTATTTCACCTTCAGACATTTAGCTACGACAACCAACGAGGCAGAATGCTTTCACAGCATTTATCACAGTGATATGTCAGAAGCACTTAAATAAGATATATATTATATGGAACTAAACATCTGTGCTCTTAAACCATGTACATTATCTGTGTGCAGGATTGCAGTGTGACAGAAAAAAACGAGTTGTGGATAGGACTTGGTCTCTGGGCGATACAAACAACTTTTTATAGTGTTTTTCCAATCTTGGAGTCCCTTATCAGTTTATATTATTAGATTGTAGCCATGCTAGCAGCTTTGCAATAGAATGGCTGGTCAGCATAACAATTTGAGACTGAAATATGTTAACAAATAATGGATAGATTTATGTAAAGTTTGGTACAGACCTTCATGGTCCACAGAGGATACATTCCACTGTGATCCTGTGATTCCTATAGTGCCAGCAAGTTGCTATATAGCTGTAGGCCTATATTCAATAAGGATTTTCATTACCTTTAAATGCAACTACCATTACAGTGAATCACCAAACAGATCTTTTTGTATGTCTCTCTCTGTTTCTTGCCTTTATTTCCCCAAAAATGGAATTGCCTTTCTGGATTTATAGCATTGTATTGAATTTAATGTAGTGGATTTGAACTTGTTTTGTGTTACATTCATGGCTCTCAGAAATGTCCTAATGAATTTGGCAATATTCCTTTATTGGCAGTGTAAGGGTAACATTCACAGTGTTACCAAAATGTATTTTAAACTATTTAATGGATTGTCATGTCATTTGGTTTAAACATACTTCTCCCAATTTGTATAAACTTTTTCTGAGCACTAATCAGCCAAAACATGTCCAATACTTTACTTTGTGCTCATTGACATTAGCAAATGTTAGCATACTGACACACTCAAATAAGATGGTAAACATTAAGCCTGTGAAATATCAGTGTGTTAGCATCGTCATTGTTAACATTGCTGCCATGCTGATGTTTGCATTTATCTCGAAGCCTGACTGTGACTCACTGACCTGCTGGCGTGGCTGTCGATGTCAAGTCTTGTTTTAATTTTCTTGTAAAATACTGGACAGTTTTCCCTCCCTGTGCTTCCCATTGTATTTCAATAAAAAAGCCTCTGGAGGGAAAATCACTTTGTGGTTTATCTTCCAGAAGGAGTCATTACAGTCACCGCCCAAAATGTGTGGTAACGACAGGTTTATTGGCCAGAATGTGCATATGTTTATTTGCGGTGTCACATTAACATGCTAATCGCGGTGATATTATACATGGCAAGATCCATACATTTATTCTGGCACTGCGCTACAATCTCTAAGATTATATTTGGATGGCTGACTTTATGATACTGCAGTCTTTTTCCTCAAGGAAGAAAATGTATGGTTGAGTGGAGAAGCCTGCACTCTCTGTGGCTTGAATGACAACAACATGAAGGGACCTAAGGAGGTTATTGAGATGCATGTTGTGTGGAGAACGACATAATGGAAATAACAAGAGCAAGAAATAATACCAGGCGAATGAATACAGATTCTACGTTTACTGACCAGGATGAAAGTAAATGCTATTAATACGATATATGGCCACACACCCACACACACACACAAACACACATTTTGTGAAGGATTTCCAGGACATTAGCAACCAGCCATATATTATGTTGGTTGAGTGAGCATCACCAGACCAAACAAGGTTATGGCCTTTGATCACCGCATATAAGACGAAAGGCATGATGGGAAGTTAACAAAACACAACTATACCTAACAAACATGATGCAGAAATGCACCTATTGAATTCTCGTTGAATGCAGTAACATGGATTTACAAAAAGCCATTAAGCATCTGAATGAAAGCCTTTATTACTCAACACTGTTAATAGTAATGAGGCATTTGTGGAAGCGTGGAGCTCAGGATTATCACATTTTGAAAGTAGAGGATGCTCGGAGGAAGCTAGAGGAAGAGGATCAGATTATCTACGATTGCTATTCGATACCATCCAACCAGCTAATCGTATTACTCCCCTTTCTGTGCCCTCCTGTCAATACTCATCCTCAGGATGCTCTAACTCAACAGCTCCCCTTTTTACGACCATCTCTTTTTGTCTTTGCTCTTAACACCTCTTTTCATTTGTTTCAATTTCTCCCCTTCTCTCTCCTGCATTCCCGTCTTGTCTCCCTCCACATGATGGTCCAGGTGCTTAAGAAGTCAAACAGGGACAGCCTTTATGATCCCAGGATGCTCATAGAGACTAAAGGAAGCCTACAAAAACAATGCCCCTGCCTCATTCACAGACATTAAACCTTTTTGATCCCAGGACGTCGTGCCTGCCTGAGACAATGTGTGCAAGAGAAGTGAAATGTAAATGTCTCAGCCTGCAGGAGTATTATGCAGATGCCCTAGTTCTTCTATTTGAGCAAACAGCCAGGGTATAATTGCAATTCTCAAATTTGAATATATTTGAATCACAATTTGTGCATCAGAAAAATGGCTCTTCTAATTGATGCAGAGAAACATTTATCTTCTGAGGCGCTCGATGCACTCAAAGAGCAAGGTTTAAAATCACACCAACTTCATCAATATTCCATCAACGTCACCTTGAGTGAGGCAGCTCATCCATTTAGTTGATTATAGTGGTTAGCTGAAGAGGATGGAGAAAAGCCGGTAAGAAAACAGATAAGAACTACTTCTCTTGATTACAGAGGTTCACAAACGGTCTGCTATGAGGCATCGCTTCGCTTCACAGCCGGGAGAGGAATGTGTGAGGAATAAAATAAATGTGTTATTACTAAATGGCAAAAGAATGCTTTGAAAAATACTTTATAAATGCGTCCTTATTGTCACCATCAAAAGGAACGAAATGATTAAGACATTAACTCAGATGATAGGAAAATAAAAATGACAATCACATTTGAAGTAGCCCCTTGTGGCTAATAAAGAGATGGGATTAACAAGAGGTTGATAAGATGCAGAAGGAGAACAATTTAAGAAAGGCAAAGAAGCTTCAATCGGGGCATCCACATCGGCCAAATGATTCACAGTTCAACAGAAACTTGTCTTCTTAGTTTCAATTCAGGACAACGCTACTCTCAAAACCTTTTAAAGGATTCTCTCTTAGTCTAGTCTTAAGGTTTTTTCATAGACATTTATAAATAGTGTTTGAATCTCAATGTCGTTGGAGAATAGCAGCAGACTACCTACAGCAGGGGTGTCAAACTCAAGGCCCGGGGGCCAAATCCGGCCCGTGACTTCATTTTCTGTGGCCCCACAAGAGCTTGCAAAGATTATTATATGTTTATTATATACGGTTACATGATGATTTACAGAAGCACGTTTCCCATAAACTACATGTCCCGTAATGCATCTCAAATTAGACTTTTTTCTCAGAATTTGACTCTTTTTTTAAATGTTACTTTATTTTTGAATGTCACTTCCTTTTTTTTTAATGTCACTACTGTTTTTAGATTTTGACTTTTTTTCCAGCTTTTCTTTTTACATCATTTTGTGACATTCTCACTGAAGAGACTTGCAATTATTTGCCCCAGACTTATATATATATATATATATATATATATATTTATATATAAGTTACAACCGGCCCTTTGAGTGCAGCCATAATGCTGATGTGGCCCGCGATTAAATTGAGTTTGACACCCCTGACCTACAGTGTATTGCAAAACAATGCATATCTTGTCTTACAGATATATATATATATATAAATCTATTCCTACAGAGTTTCCACTTTATCTTCCCAGGGTTTGAGAGATATATATCTTTCTGCTGATTCCCTGATACAGTGTGACAAAAACTAAATTGGATTTTGTTTGTGGAGCTCAGAGCAGTGCAAAAGAAATTGGAAGAACTCAATAGGAGCTTTTCTTTACCACAATACATATCCTTAGTACTAATCCACATGTTCAAGATAGGGACTATTTCTCTGATAGAAATTAGTTTTCATATGTTCATAATAATGTCTGTGACGTTAATTCACATCATTGTTTTCTTTTGCTCATCCAAAACGGCTCTCATCTCATCAAAATATCTTGTTATTAACCTCAGAAGACCAAAATGACTTGCACATGTAGAGGTATGTGATAAAAAGATAAAAGCTCTTTGAAAAATTCAGATAAATGTATCCATTAAGTCTGATTTTCATAAAACAAAGACAACTTTTTTTTCTTCTAAAATGTAAATGATAGTGGAAACATCAGACTCAGCTCACCCTCTTGAGAGCGACTTTCCACTTGTACCAAGACAAATAATTTAAAATCTAAACAGGAGATGAAATGAGTTGTGAAGATGGACATTTTCTGCAGCAGGGTGTCAGTAAAATGATCTGTATACAAGTTTCCAGAGCATCAATCATTGTAAATACTGACCCTGTTATTTTCCTTCTGCACCTTTAAGCTTCTGGTTCCCAGGTATCCTAAATCGGGTCATCTCTTCTGAGGGGTCACATGTTTTACAACCTGCTGCGCCTCCACCACAGCGTGACAACAGGGGATCTGAGTGTGAAGCACGCTCCGACCACCAGCCATGTGGAGACAGAAACAGGAAGGGCAATCATTTTTTTGTAACGGTTGTACAGGAATGTGGCGGTGCACCTGCTCCGTGATACCATCCTCTGTCTGGTTTTATTTGCTATGAAAGGATTGGTGTGAGTGAAGGGTCAGCAGTATCAGGCTCGATGCTTCACTGCACCTCGGCTGCATCCTCTGACTGTGTGGGTCACAGAGGGGGGGGGGTACACAAGCCTCTGGAGTCTTCCGAGAACCCCCCCTACTCTGTCAGGAATCACAGGCTTTCCAATAAGAAATGGTTGTCCTGCACATGTGTATCAGGATGTCGTGTGTATGCAGGATCTGTAATTCAAATGGGATCTGATAAAAGTTATAATAACTATAAACTTAAATTATATAGCACTTTTCTTTATAAAGTTGCCACATGATTTTCAGGAAATCTAAACAAAAACATAATAAAATACAAATGAAAGGATCATCAAATAGAGTTAGAAAACAAAAAGGCCAGGGAGGGATTATAAAACCCAAAAACATATTAAATACTTATTAACACTTTTGCATAGTTTGATTAAGTATACAATTGGGTGCACAAAAGTTCAAGTAACTACCCAGGAGGGACGAATTTGAAAAAATGCAAACCAGAAATTAATTATCATAGTTCTTATTGTGGCCAGACACTTGACAATTCTGGTCACTCATTTGCTTCCACTCACAGCATTTGCACATCTTGCGACATTATCTCAACACTGATTGTAGTTTCATTGTTATAGAATCAGCTTGCATCAGATGTTTGGATTTCATTTTTTATTTCAGCATGAGATAAGTGTTTTTGGACACATTTCACATGTAGGAAGTTGAAATAAAAATGTGTTGCTTGGTGCAAAACAGTCTTTTATCTCATGCCTAATAAGGAACAACCCCAGGAGATCTGGTGTGCAGTTGTGTTGGAGTAAACATGTTTTACTACAGTATAAATTATTGTTTGGAAAAATAAATGTTCCATTTAACGCGACATACGTTAATAGGAATATATTGTAAATCAGGAAAAAAAATGTAAGCTTGCCCAGCCCTAAAACATGAATTTAACTGTATCAAGCTGAAGAATCCACCCTGGCCTCCATAATGAGCGCATATATCATGAGACATGAGTGGTGCTATGCATGTTACTGCTCTGTGTGACAGAGGCAATACATCCATCGCAATTCAGTGACGCTTTACTGAAGCAATTCAATGCTAATTATGTATAATGTCAGCATGCTAACATGACAATTCTGATCAAGTTATATAGCCGCAATGATTTGCCAACTAATCTCTTACTTGATAGACAAACATAATCACCAACTATTATTGGCTAAATCAGTGTCCCTAGATTGGTATGAGTGAACAGTACCTCGTCTAACGACTGCAGATAGAAGTCATTAAATACTTACATTTTGCAGATTTTTTTTTTTAAGTGTGGTCCTTGTTCCAATCATTCAAATGTGGGGGCTAGCATGGCTAAAAAATACATCATAAAGCACATTTATTTACACATGTTGATGCTTACCCAGAACTATACACATATATACTTGTAACAAAATTGTTCAGTCTGTTTATATTCTACTACAGTATAGTATTTAAATCAGATTAAATCAGAAGCTACTGGTTGCTTCCTGTTGATAAGCATTTGCTCCCTGATGTATTCCTTTTTTGTTTCTTGGTATCCACATTATTGATATGTATATCAAACTTGCTCAGATAAATCTTTGTTTTACTTCCTGATGTCTGCCTCCAACCTGGCGTCCCACATGAGCTGCTGGCTGCAGGTCAGCGCTCCTGCCCCTTCACTCTGGAATGTACATTGAAAGTATATGGCTGAACACAAAGCTTTGAACATCCAAGAACAACAGATGAGAGGGAAGCTGCATGATGAAAAGTCTCAAATGTTCGCTTTTTGCTTTGATTTTCTGCAGAGCAGTGTTTCCAATACATTTCTCTTGAACTCTGAGAGAACAATCTGGCTTGTGAGAATGCACAGTAAACAAGAGTCATTGCAACATATTACCCAGGGGGACGGTTTGTTTCTCAGGAACACATAATCCCTGTGAACATAACAGAGACATAACAAAGAGAAATTGGGTTTATCCCGTTCGGAGGAAGTCATTAATCACTCACCTACTGTAATTAGCAGGGAGTTAATTTATGCCTCACTAATTCACTTAGCACTGTATAAGAGCGAGAAGAGCTGGTAAAAACGATTGGCTCAGTAATGTGTCTTAGAACAGAACGTAGCCTGAAATGGTGATGGTAGGCTTAATACTATACAGCATGAAATGTTGTTGTAGGGCAGGGGTGTCAAACTCAATTTCCTCTCGGGCCACATTAGCATCATGGTTGCACTCAAAGGGCCAATTTTATATATAAGACTATATAAAAATACATATATAAATATTTAATAATATAAAATATGAGGTAGGGTAGTAACTTCATAATTAACTACGTCTGAAAGCAGAAGTCTAGTGCAAATAATTGCAAGTCCCTTCAGTGAGAATGTCACAAAATGACTTAAAAAGAAAAGCCAAATTCTGAAGAAAAAGAAAGTCAAAATTAAAAAAAGAAGTCACATTTTGAAAATAAGTGACATTTAGAAAAAACTAGGGCCGGGACTTTAACGCGTTAATTAAGATTAATTAATTACACAAAAATTAACGCGTTAAAAAAATTAACGCATTTTAATCGCACTTATTTTTGCACCGCGGAACGTTTCTCACTGGATGAGTTTCAGGGGTACCGATTATACTGGAGCACCAACTAACGTTCATTACTTCAGACAACAACAAACCACAGTGAACAATAGTCAAACGTGAACGAAGAAGCTGATGAGACCGCTTTGTTGGCCCCGTGAATGGGACATTTTGTTTTAAAAAACGGACAGATGGAAGCGTCAATAAGAGCACAGTTGTTTGCNATGTGGACATTGACACCATTTTCATAATTTTGGCTCTGTACCCCACTACAATTAACTTGAAATTAAACACTCAATATGCGCCAACTTTCAGCTTTAATTTGAGGGTATTTACATCCAAATATTTATGGACCTGACTGTATATGTATTTTACCTGTGGTCTGAGGTCTTAAGTTCAGCCCTGTTGTAGAACTTCAGCGTCCCAGGGTTCCAGGGGTTGTCCGGATCGTCCTCGTTCTCCCCAGACGGAGTACTGGCTCCTACTACATTCATCTCCTCAGCTGCAAAACACACACAAATTTAAAACTATGACTAAAACATATTTTTAACAGTGTTGAAATGTTGTCATGAGTTCTGAAATAGAAGGGTACGTATGGGCTCAGAACAGTCTCAAAATACACACATGCACACAGAAGGATTGAAACTTGTATTTCATGATCCGCAAAAGGATCCACACTTGTGTTTTTCAATGCACACACAAATGTGTTCCGTTTCATATACATGTAAATAAAATCCAAATACAGAACAAAGTTGTACATATGTATTTTTGATCCTCACATATTTGTTTTCCGTTTAAAACCTCTGAACCTTCAAACACAAACCGCTTTCTGTGCATGGATCGCTGTGCATTCGTGTGTGTTTTTTTAGACTCCCCTGACGCTCACCCGATTCGTACTTGTAATTTTTTCTATCTATAGCCAATCAGATGTCTCCTTCATTCTAAGCCAATCACATGAGCGCGCCCCCACGAGGGTATGATTTCTTGCGTTCATGACACTTCGGCCCAATCCCAAACCACTCCCTCGACCCTACCCCTCCGTGACGGACGTCTGTAGCCACACTCGCAGCTCAACGAGGCTCCCTCCTGTCAGATGGAGTAGTCCAGCAGATATGTGAAAGAATTGTGCTTTTGATGATAAAAGCATGAAATTTGGCACACTGTTAGAGCATGCCCTAAGGAAGATTTTTGGCTATAGGGCCATCGCAAATTTGTCCAATGGTGCCAATGGCGGCCATTGGTTGTTATCTTACCAGTAGTTTAGGATCTAGACCACCTAGGATCTTGATTCTGGTGGCTAATCCTACATTTTCAAAGATGGAGGATGCATTGGTAGTATTTACAACATGCTAGAATGTAGCTAACTATATGTATCTGGTATTCAGGGAACAAAATACACTGTAAACCATTAACATATTTATTATGGTGAAGTCATACATGTTACATAATATATATGAAATATTACAGGTTTTCAACTAAATGCAGACTTAGTTCTGAAAACACAGTCCACCACAGTGGCAAAGGGCAGTGTACTGAATTGCTACCTTGACATATTCAGGAGGAGTTCACGACAGGCCGGG